GCCACGTAGTATTCCATTGTGTATATAAACCACAATTTCTTTATCCATTCATCAGTTGATGGACATTTAGGCTCTTTCCATAATGTGGCTATTGTTGAGAGTGCTGCTATAAACATTGGGGTACAAGTGCCCCTATGCATCAGTACTCCTGTATCCCTTGGATAAATTCCTAGCAGTGCTACTGCTGGGTCATAGGGTAGGTCTATTTTTAATTTTCTGAGGAACCTCCACACTGCTTTCCAGAGCGGCTGCACCAATTTGCATTCCCACCAACAGTGCAAGAGGGTTCCCGTTTCTCCACATCCTCTCCAGCATCTATAGTCTCCTGATTTGTTCATTTTGGCCACTCTGACTGGCCTGAGGTGATATCTGAGTGAACCCACACCTTTCTTATGCAAGTCATTGTGTGGACATTTCATTTCACAGGTTAATTACAACCACCTGCACCATTCCTTTTGTTTTTCTTTGCAGATCCATTGATGAGATGAAGCGGTTGGAGGAAATGTCACATGTGTTTCAGCGCTCTGGAGTTGAACGCCACCCTTCAGAACCAAAATCCCAGACAGAAGGGAATGAAGATTTAGGGGGCAAAGAGCAGCCATGGGAAATGGTGATGGATAAGAAACACTTTAAGCTGTGGCGGCGCCCTATTACAGGCACTCACCTTTACCAGTACAGAGGTGAGCCCAGCTTGGCTGCCTTGTGTGTTCCGTGGTTGCCCAGGTGTGCAGGACTTTTGTTCCTTATCCTCTCTAAACTGTTCTTTTCTGATTCTTGATCAGAAAATTTACCATGGTTTCTTGTTTTTGTTTTGCCTCCCCCAGATGACAAGTATCTCAGTGTCTTCATTGCTATACTTTGCTGTAGGTTGTCTTTGTCTTACTTTGCTGTCCCAGTATGATAATCTAGTTTTTGAATCTGCCTTTTATTTTTCTATAGCAAATGTTTTTTTGTTGTTGTTGATGTTTATTTATGGGGGGGAGGGGCAGAGAGGGAGTGAGAGAATCCCAAGCAGGCTCCGCTGTGTCAGCACAGAGCCCCATGTGGGGCGCCATCTCAGGAACCCTGGAGTCATGACCTGAGCTGAAATTAAGAGTCGCCTAACTGACTGAGCCACCCAGGTGCTCCTGAATCTGCCTTTTAAGATCTGTCTGTACTCTATAATTGGAATGCAGTTAAGTGATAGGAATAAGGCAAGTGATGGAGATGTGGCATTAATCCCTTATTCTTTGTTATGTCATTCTAGTTTTTGGAACCTACACAGATGTGACACCCCGGCAGTTCTTCAACGTTCAGGTGAGTAAATTTTTCTTCCCAGATTTGGAGCTTCTAAGCCTGGAAATCCACTGCAAACTGTCCACATGAATAATTTTTTTAACTCCGAAGACATTGGCTTCAGTACATCTATTTTTGTATCCTTCTCCTGTCAAATAGCATCTAGGTAGACATTGGACTTACTCTTTGTCCAAGGGGATGAGACTGATTCTATCCTCTTACAGGGCTGTTGGGAAGATCAATTAGAGGAACGAATTGAATGTTTTTAGTATTTTATAAGGTGTTACAGTTATTTTTTCCTAAACAATTTAAGGGTAAGTTACATACGTGTCCCTTTATTCCGAGATCCTTCAGTGTGTATTTCCTAAAACTAGGCATATTCTCCTAACTGTGGTGCCATTATGAAAGTCTCTAAATTTAACATTGATGCAGCTCTTATACTCTTTTTTTTTTTTTTTTTTGGCAACTCTTCTACTCTTGTTTGTATTCCAGTTTTTATTTATTGACCTGATAATGTTCTTTACAGCATTTTCCTCTTGAGTGCAGATCCAATCAGGATTTAGTAATGTAGGAATATTGCCACAGTGAAGCTATTTATTTAGTAAAGATGAAGAGTATTCAAAGACTCCTTTCTTCCTTGGGTGGAAATGTACGAAAAGGGGAGGTGGGATCACCTAGAGTTGTATAAAAAATTTTTTTTCCTTCTTGGATTTTTCACTGTTTTATCAGGCTTTCAGTAACTAATTAATGATTATAATACTCACTAATAATATGCAAGTGCTCACTTCCCCCCAAACACTGAATTTTGTTAATTTATATGGAGTTTTTGTTGAGTTTGGATGTGCATGATATGTCTTATTTTGAAATTTCCTAGTTACAAGTGGTGCTAGAAATTTAAAAATACGCTGCCTGCATTTCTTTTTGTGAAGTGTTGCTCATACTTTTGGGCTTTTTGTCTGTTTAAATCTTTAAAAATTTGTTTTACCCTTGTACATTTGTATGTCACTACCTATTAAATTTTCCCTAAACATGTCTATCACAATATTTTTTTCTTATATTTTCCTTTGCTTTGCCTTTTTAAAAAAATATTTGAGAGAGAGAGAGCGCGAGCGGGGAGGGGCAGAGAGAGGATCCGAAATAGGCTCCATGCAGTCAGTGCAGAGCCTAATGTGGGGCTCGACCCCATGAACTATGAGATCATGACCTGAGCCAAAATCAAGAGTTGGTTGCTTAACTGACTGAGCCCCCCAGGCGCCCCTGTGCTTTGCCTTTCTTTAGTAAGATTCACTTTCAAGATAATGCTGTTGGCCTATAAGAAAGGATTTTGAAAGACTTGTCTAAAATAAACATAGCTGTGTTTTTCATACTTTGCCACTTTTAGGTCAGGTTTCCATTTCAGAATAAGATCCTTGGGTCAGAGGTCCAAGCATCTGGAGAAGTCTTCTGCAGCTTTGTTTTTAATTTCTTAGGTCTTGACAGTCTCTTTTCTTTCTACAGCTGGATACAGAGTATAGAAAAAAGTGGGATGCCCTGGTAATCAAGCTGGAAGTGATTGAGAGGGATGTGGTTAGTGGTTCTGAGGTTCTTCACTGGGTAACCCATTTTCCTGTGAGTATTTTCGTTACTATTTTTACTTTTATCACATCCATGTGAGGCAGAACACTAATTCTGCCTATTCTTTCCTTTAGTATCCAATGTATTCCCGGGATTATGTTTATGTTCGACGGTATAGCGTGGATCAGGAAAACAACGTGATGGTGTTGGTGTCACGGTATGTGTGGTTACTTGTGGCTCCTCCTGAGATCCTTTAGCTGTGTCCTTCATAGAAGTCTGGTGGGAGTTTGCATGGTCTTGTTAATAGGGGTGCTGCTAGGACCCCATCCATCCCAGCTAGAACACGAGTGGGCTTTGACTGGTGACAGTCTAGGAAGATAGAAGGGATGTAAGCTTTTCATTAAACCATTTCTTTAACCTTAATATTGATAATTAGAAAAATAAGTGCTTTTTTCTTCAACACAAAGGTTACAAAGCCTAGGAATCACCAAGGGAACTCACTTTGTTTTTAGAACTTAGTTTGTATTCATTCATCTTGGTGACTCTCTGTTTTATTTTAAAAATTAGAGTCAGCTTTTTAGATTTTCCCCTTAACTTTAGCTCTTACGCTGTTTTGTATGTAAACATTACTGAGTTTCCTTAACTTTTCTCCTTACCAGTGCTGTGGAGCACCCTAGTGTTCCAGAGTCTCCAGAATTTGTAAGGGTCAGATCATATGAATCCCAGATGGTTATCCGTCCCCACAAGTCATTTGATGAGGTGAGTTTTACATCATCCGAGAGATCATGTGTAGGTGCTATGGGATTTTCTCAAGGAATGCCTTTTGTCTGAACTGGGAAGGGCAATGTTTCTCAAACTTGGCATGCATCAGAGTCCACTGGAGCTTGTTAACATACAGTGCTGGGGTGTGGCCCAAGAATTCTCATTTTTAAGAGGTCCCAATGTGATACTGCTGGTTTGAGAACCATTGCTGTAGGGTGATAACACCTGGAAGATCCTCCAGGACAAAGTTCTGATGACCCACGATTCCTGTTTGTATGAGAGACAGGAGAAGACGACGGCCTGTTAGCGGCATTCTTTGGGAACTGAAGGAGCATCTTTTCCATCAAAATTTCACCACAATGGGCAAAACATTTGAAACCTTTCTGGATTTCTGTTTCCTTATCTGTAAAATGAGAGGGTTAAAATAATGTTCTCAGCTTTCTTTAAAATTCTGTGACCTTTCTTTGAGAAGAATTTTTTTTCAATGTAGGGAATTGCTTTTTTTTTTGGTCAAATCTATTGAGTTTACTACGTATTGATTCCAGTGGTTGCTGGTTTTAGTTGTATTTCACTTTACAATTAAAGGCTTTGTTTCTGTCCATTACTTTTATTTTTGAGCTGGATGAACTGTGTGTTAGTATGGTTTTGTTTTCAACAAGTTGTTCTATTTATACTGCCTGACGTGGGACTTTAAATATGACAGAAATGGTGGTTCACTTCAGTTAATGTGGTGATTGACTCTTTTTAACTGGGAGATCTGTGTGTTTACTTGTATACTATTTTTAGAACAGTATTTTTCAAACAGATTGCTACCCATTAGTGGAAGACAAAATTACTTTAGTGCATTATGACCAGCTAAAAAAAAAAAAGAAAAGAAAAAATATACGGAGTAGAAATCATCTGAGTGTAAGCATATTTCATGAGACTTGTTTAGGTACATAAGGATGTATGAATGTGTGTGTATGAGGCTGAGAGAGAACTGGTTGCAGTGTAAAAAGTTTATTTACAGTGTGTTGTAGTTAAAAAGTCCTTTAGAACTTTAGAAAATAGAAAAGAAGTGTAGTAAGGCTACTTAGTGTCCATGGCTAGTTGCCTTTAGGAAGGGGAGCCTGGGTCAGGCTGGAGACCGTGTGGGAGACAGACTTAGGTCTCACTCTTTTCCTTTAAAATTTTAACCTTGCCCCCCATATATTTCCTATTGGGAAAAAACTGACTTGAGTTCCAGCATTGCTACCTTTAGAAACCATGACCATGAAATAGCCAGGGCATCGTTTAGCACCTAGCCGAGTGTGTTGTATCTAGCAGGGGCCCAGTAAATAATTTCTTTCAATTGGGGTGGGGGAACAATAGAGATTATCTATATAATTCTTTTAGTATATTGGTGGCAAGCTCTTATGAAAAAGGTAAGATTTGAGTGGGGTCTCTTGAAAAGGCAGACTGGATAGAGGAAAACAGGAAGCGCCCTGGGAGCAGACACGGCATGATTTATCAAAGACAAAGACAAAAATGAGCCATGAATAGGTTCAGAGACTCACCACTTAGAAAGGAAAGTTGAGATTAGGGAGGAGTGATAAGTTAACATTGACCATGTAGATAGAATACTTGAAAACCAGGCAGCTGCATTTGGACTTGGCAGATGGAAAATAGATCCTTGAGCCAAGGTATGGTGTTTTATTTGTTTTACTTTTATATATATTTCAGATTTTCCCTAATTAAAAGATAAAGAGGGGCACCTGGGTGGCTTGGTCAGTTAAGCGTCTGACTTCGGC